ATAAGGCTCGATTAAGGCTTAATGTTTTTTTAATGGGAGTTTTTTATCAAAATTAATTTATCATTCTAAAGTTGTAGCGCACCGATTTTCCTTCGGTAAAGTTATTTAAAGCTGCTTTCTGATGTCAAAAATGACCTCCGATAGTTTTTTAATTTTTTTAATTAATAGATTTTATTATATATATGTTTAATTAATTAGGGGGGGTCGGAAATCGCAATAAAAATTATAATTTTTTAAAAATATTTAAAAATATACCACCAGATTGAAGTCACCCTACTTTAAACCCTTGTCCTCCCGCGATGTCTATGAGAATGTCCCGGGAAATCCGACTCCAGCTGTGTTCAAGGTCATCCAGATGTGTAAACAATAACTCATTGGTGTTAAATTTCACATAAAGGCGAGACAAAGGAAACTAAATGATGAAGCTTTTTAACCAAAATTAACACATTTCTTTCGTTTTTTTTCAGTTTTAAGTATTTTTTATGCTTAATTAGCGGCTCAATAGGCTCAAAAGAGGTTAAGTATGTAAAAATTTATTACATTTCATGTTGTACGAGGGTTTTACCCATTTCTTGAACCGTGTCAGAGTGAATCCGTGCTATAAAAGTACCGTGTTATATGGAGGATGGTAGCAATTCTTGAACCGTGTTAGAGTGAATCCATGCTATAGAAGTGCCATGTTATACGGGGGTTACCTGTATATCAAAATACCTTTATAGGATACATAGTATATTCTTTCAACTATATCCATTCGATAATAGGGAAACATATGGGAGCACAAATAAATAAATTATCACACATATTAACATGCACCTATTACATATGGTGTTCCTCATAATATGCACTTTGAGTTTAGAACAAATAATCTATTTATACTAAAATTCTCCTCCAATGGAGATTAAAAATTCGGACCATCTGATAGGATGTCAAGATGATTCTTTTGGTTAGTCAACTATTTAGTCATAGATCTCTCTCAGGAACTAAGTTTCAAAAATGAAACATATGTTCCTTGTTCTCCTCGATTTTTTAAAATATAACAAAAATTATCAAATTATTATTTAAATCTTTTAAAAATCTTATTAAAATATCAATATCCTTTCAGAATCTCACAAATCATTAAAAACTTTAAATTACTATACAGAAAACTTATCATATGAAAGATGTTGTGTGTTATTGAAGATGGATCACATAAGTTTGGAGTAAACCTGCCAGATGCAATGAGAATAATTAACAATGTGTGGAAGAAAGTTCACAAAGCACCATTGCAAATAGCTTCATTAAAGCAAAATTCAATTAACAATTTGTCAACATTTTGAATAAATTGAAATTTCCATCAGAATCCATTCTCAATATCAAAGAACCTGAAGACAACATCATTGCCAAATTCTAAGAAACAAGCTACAAAGACCAAGAAATAAATCTCGTCAAGAACAAATATTCTGTTCCAACTACATGTAAGGAATCCACAAAAGCTCTCAAGCTTTTATGAGGCTTCCTAGAAACTACATCATTCATGAAACAAAATGCTTTCAAGGCAATTGACCACGTTAAAAATAATATTGAGCAAGAAGTAATGAATTGTCAATGACAAACTTGTGTAATAGACTTTTTCCAGTAACAGTATCAATGTTTTGTTACACATATATATATATATATATATATATATATATATAAGTAAAAAACTTTTCTATTCCTTTAGACACAATGTGTATTTTTTAAACCACATTTACCCTAATTTTATTAAGTATTGAATTTTGATCAATTTTGTCATATATTAAATATTAATTTATATAGTTGTATTGTGGGTCTGACCAAATCTACAACAAATATGAATAAAGGCAGTCTCATGCCCATAAAATGGAGCATAAAAATTTTTTTTATATAAACAAATACAGTCGAGTCTGCATAAGTCATCATAGGTATTACTCGACACTGTCGGTTAAGTAGTTAGTTTTCTGTGGTTCCAGCCAACTTACATAGGCATTAATGTTAAAAAACTCTGGTTTACTCGACACCATTTAACGCGTCGCCACTGGATAAATCAACATACATTTCTGTCCTACACTCATTTAGACATCTGATAAGTTGACTCCCTTCCTGGAAAAAAATGAGTTCACACCACACAGTGCAGTGTGAACTCATTTTTTTCAGGAGGAAAGTTGACTTATTTATTAATAAATACATATTAATAAAAATGCCTTAACATTTTGTGTATTTTTATATATAAAATAATAACAGATAAACAAAAAGAAAATATATCAACAGCAAAATCCAATTTTGCATTTTCTCATGTCAAGCATTATTTGTAGTACATGTTTCACATTTCTGTTAGAAATGAGTGTCCAAAAGCTAACAATGCTTATGCTGAAGGAAAAATACGAACTTGTGTTTGAATTTGAATGTAAGAAAACTTCGCAAGCTGAATTTGCAAAACAAAAAAAATCTTCCAAAAACAACATTGGTGGGAATCCTGAAGAAAAAACAGGAAATTAAGAAATTTTTTCTTGGATTTTCATTGTGGCTGTCTCGAAAACACTAGAGAAAGTCGCCATACAAAGATGTCAAAGACGCTCTCGTATGTTGGCTAAAGCAAATTCGTTCATCGAATCTTCCTGTTTCGGGACTGATACTGAAACAAAAGGCAATGGAAATTGCTAGGGTACTTGGAGTAGAAACCAACTTTAGTGTCAGTGATGGATGGTCAGAGAGGTACGCTGCACTACTGTATTTTCCTAATTGTAGTATTGTGGTTTTTTGCAACTTCACTTTAGTTGTCATATTGGATAACTCGACACATTTTCACTTTCCCTTGGAGTGTTGACTTATGCGGACTCAACTGTATTTAACAACTCAAACTATAATCCTAACATTACGTAAAGCAAACATTATAATAATAATGATATAAAATATAATTTCTGTGTGACAAAATATATTTAATCTGTTATTTTTTGGTAACAAAATTAAATGTTCTCATAACTTATCACATTTAAGAAAAATACCTTATCTTTGCTCTTCTTGGCATTATTTTCTGCAATTTGTAAAGTGCGAGCATGAGGACTGTGCTCAGCTGTAAAATGAACACTGGCAAAACCTTCCTGAACCAATGCCACTGACAGATTTGTATTCTCTATCCACAGCCAACCTATGAAGTTGCCAGCTTTGTCCATTGATTCAACTTCGACAGATACCTAAAAAATTTATGTCATTATTAACATTGCTCTTAAATTACCATAAATTTACGAGTTTGATTCACTTTTTATCAACAAACTTCTCATTTTGAACTTAAATAATATTTCTAAAACTTACTTCTCGTTGTAGGCATAATTCTTTTGTGAATTGTAAAGCTTCTTCACCCCATGGTTCACCTTCTATTACAGTTCCACCCGGTCCTGGTCTAGTAGCTTTCGGACAATTAATGCCTAAAAGTAAAATTATAACAACATACTTGAAAATTCTTAAAAGAATTTGTCAACTTGAGCATCAAATTCTATATTTGTAAACAATTTTATGTCGTGTTTACATTATTAACAATGCAAGATTCTTACCAGCTAATAAAAATATAAGAATGCAATTCTCTCTGGGTATGTATAACCGTAATCTGGAACCACTCGTGACAAATTCCACAACAGCATCCATACGGCCAGCACGTTGAAGAAATGGGAAGAACTGTTTAGATTTTGATAAATCCTAAAAAAGGACATTGTTTAATTAAATAAGTGTTCTAAATACCTAAATAAAATATAGTTAAAAGAGGATAAAGCTTTTCTTACCCCACATAAGTCAACTACACGATGAACTGGCTGTTCCTTTTTGCTGTGAAGACCTTTTCCCGACTTCTGAGCTTTTCCTTCTGCCGCCAGAAGCTCATCATAGTGAGCTGATCTCTGATCGTCATCCTGACGATACCTGACCACAGTAGCCAGTCCTTTGCTGACCAAAGCTTCGGCAACATTGCTTCAATGGTTAAAAAAAATAACTTTTGAATTATTTGAAATTCTCCAATCTTGAATTTTATTACTTTGACATTATTAAAGAAACAGTTTTGTTTAATGTAAGTAAAATTCGTGAGCAAAATCAATGTATAAACATAAAATTGATGCTATGTTCAACTAAAATGAACCTTTAATGCAAAGTTCCAGCATAAAACAACCGAGTTTCCATATTTTCGATCAATTTGATCCCCGAATTGAATAGATCTTTATAACTGAAAGGCTAAAATCAATGCCCAAATAGTCATATTAATTAATTATATTTCTCAAAACTTATTTTATTTGTAATATATAAACTATTATGTTAAATTTAATACAAAATAAAAAAATAAATACAAAAAAATTTAATTAGCTTTCAATAAAACTGACTTGCATATTACTGGCAATTAGCCTGGATAATTGGGAGAATATGTATTGTTTTTATAAACAGTAAAACTGATTCAGTGAGGTGAAAAATAACTGATGGGGTTGCAAACATGATCCAATTAAAATAATGTTAACCAAATTAAATCTTGTTTATATAGTTTGGCCTATAGTAAAATTGGTTTCATTATAAGTCAGTTTCCAAGAACATATTAATGATGTTAAATGAGGACTTGCCATATATCCTTCAGAATTTTCAAACAACAAAAAAGATTATAAATGAAACTAGCTTACCCGTCGCTCATTGCTGCGATCTCAGAAGAAAGGAAATTCAAGCAAACTCGTTATGATAAAATTCAATTTACATTTTATTATTTTTATTGAAACTTATTATTATTATTCATTTTCATCGGGAAAACATTTCAAAGTGTCGTTTCAATTCTATTTATTTATTGGAGTGTTTGTGGATACACGATATTTTTTGTTTTTCCGTCTGGTGCGTACACGAATAAATCGGAAGGTTTTTCGACGCGTGAGCCGGCCACATACAGTTGTCCATGCGAGAAGCACGGATTCTCCAAATTTAGCCCACACACTTGCAGCGATTGTCAGAAGTGCGATATTCCCCATTTATATATATATTTTTTAATCCTTTATAATTTTAATTATTTAATTGCTCCTTCCTCTCTTCCTTGGCATGTTGTGAAATTTCTGATAGTTGGATAATAAACCGTTTTATTGTAATTTGTCTTTTTAAATTATTTTGAGTCGATATTAAAATTTGGAAAAGGGGGGATACCTAGATCGGTAAAATACGCGAATTTCTTCCTACAACTTCGGTTGTTGTTCGGGGTACAGTTAAGGTTTTAACGAAGCTCGAGCGAATACATAATTAGCAAAAAAAAGTTGAAATAAAGTGATTAAACAAAAATTATTATAAATATCGTAAATAACAGTTCACAAATGCATATATAGAGATATTTTTTGAAGGGGGGAAATGGTCTTCACAATTTGAAATCGATCGAACACACTGTGCGCGAATGCTCGTGTAAACGCGTGCCATCTATCGTAGGATAATTGTACTTCGCGGGAGTGTATTAAAAAATTAAAAAAACTTTCCAAAGTTTTATGGCAATCATACTATGCCACAAACCTTCGCCAGAGTATATTAAACAACTTCCCAAAGTTTCACGGCAATCGGATAAACGGTGTGGTAATGCATGAAGGACAGACACACACACACACACATTCATTTTTATATATATAGATTAGGTACTTTAATAAAACTTACGCTCCTCCGATGGTGACGGTGCAGCAGACCTTCTCGGGAAATGCATTGGAAGCTGGCTGGATGTAGTCCACAGTGACGTTGACTTTTTTCCCGACAAGTTTCTTCCTCAAGAATTCTCTTGCTTCGTACATGTAGGGAATATCATACAATGGACGGAATGACCGGCCTTTATTTTCGGATTTGTCCTCGGACAATCTGAAAAACAGCCAGATACTTAGTAAAATTTTATTTATATAATGTTTCATTAAATTTCTAACCTATCTTCAGTTATAGAGAAGTTTATTTAAGGTTAAAAGTAAGGATATGCTTTATGTTCTTAATGTGCAAAAATTGGAGCAATACTAAGAACATATTTTATAAAATTGTGTAAAATAACTTCACCACTTTTAAATATAAACAGAAAATAATGATAGCCAGATGGCCAAAACAGAAAAAGTCCATTCTAAAAATCCAAGTTCCAGTCTGGTTCATAACCTCAAATTTCTATAAAATGGTTTAATTAATATAAATATGTTAGGCCTCATTGCTCATTGTCCATTTGTCCCTTTTTGCAAACCCAGCCAAATCTACGAAGCAAGCAAATAAGGCTTCTCAATATCCTACAGACACTAAGAGGTCTTTCTTTTGTGACAAAATTGATGATCCGGGGCAGATTAATAATTAAAATTGCATAATTAATAAAGAATTTTGAAGTCTGCAGACACACCTTGGCGGTCGGATGCTTGCCAGAAAGATTTTCTTCAGCGTTCCATCAGCAAGTTTGATGACGAGAGCATCCGCATTGTTAACCTCCATGACTTTTCCATGATATTCGCGAGGGCCACTCACGGTAGGTCCGCTTGGCGTGTAATCTTTCCACAACCGTAGCCTCTTCTCTTTAGCTATTCTGCAAGTAGAGAATAAAGCATAAGATATATTTTATGGACACAATCTACATATTAATTTTGATATTAACAAACTGCTTTAGATAGAAGTGAAATAAAATATCATGCACCTACTTCAAACCACTTTTACAAACATGGTGATCAAACAGGTTTAATTTTGCGTAAATTTTTATTTTAAACATAAAATATTTAAAAGTTATTTTGTCACTGTTCCTTGTGAGAAAAATAAACTGGCAGTTCCAAAGTTGTATGAAGTAGAAATAAAATCAGTCCTAAAAAGTTGTATGAAGTAGAATGTCTGAAAGCCAAAGAAAAAAGTTACATGTTGTAATGGGAATTCCATTTCCAGAGCTAAAAAGGAAAATTATAGAATCTCTTAAAGTAGAAAAGTCTTGCTTTTGAGGAGAATGTGTCACAAATCATAAAACATTAAACAGAAACAGACAATAAATGGTTTGGTGAATTGATATAGTTTAGTCTATCTGTTGAGAAAACTATGGACAAATTGATGTGAATTAACTTTGATATTATGGAAACCAAAACCGGCAAGTGTCATTGTAAGGTGGCTCGAAACTTATGTCCATTAGCAGAAAACAAACAGAAGTCGAAACTTGGCTCATGATAAGAGATTTTGAAGTATCAAAAGCATTATGTATGAAATAGCAAATTGTATGGAAGTCTGAAGCCACTAGTTTATGGATAGATCTATACAAATATGCATACTATGTGATCAAACAAAAAATTGACTTACAAGAAGTAGACTTAAGAATGTGTCCATTCCTATTGCATTACAAAAGAACTTAAAATTTTGAGAAATAACAATTAAAATGCAAAATGGATCTGACAAAGCCAAGAGTCACAGCCAATTTATTTACTGTGACTCTTGGCTTTGTCAGATCCACTCCTTGCAAGTAAACTTTCCACTTGATTGCCCTTATTTAAATGTATCTGAAAATCAAGTGATTTGAGCAGTAATACACCCAACTGCCATTCAGATTTATATCTTGGCATAAGCCCACTTTCACTTGATTTGAGTTCATTCAATCCCTTCCCGAAAAGTCATTTAGTGACATAGTGCCACATGATCCTTCTCTCTCATGCTAGTTGCTTTACAGTAGTAACCTATGACAATTAACTCTGCAGTTTAATCGAACGACAAAGATTTACTTTTCTATTCTTTTCCTGTATAAGTTATATCTAAAATTAAATATTTTGAATTTTATTATTGCATTGTCTTATTGACGATTTTCAAATATTTTGAAATTATATCTAAAATGACTTGCAAACTGGAGAAAAAAAATGAAAAATACAATGATTTGAGGTATTTAAAATAATGCTTTTAAATGGTGACTTTTGTAGTTTCCTCTGGCATTCTAGTTAAACATTGGCAATGGTATTAAATCCCAGATGACAGAGAAATAATATTAGTTTAAGTTCTTTAGAATTTGTAATCTTTAATTTCTTTTGCACTAGTAGAAACATTTGTTCATTAGCAAAAAACAAACAGAATATCCAAATGCAATTTCCTATAATTAATTAATACTCGAATAGGGCTTAGATTTTCGTGCATCATTTAAAAATTTGTCTTACATCATAAGAGGTTTAAGAATATTTTCACTAAACTGGAAACTTGCTAAAGAAAAAATTAAATATTATTTTTGTAACTAAGCTGCAAACAATAATTCATAGGATAAACAGATGAATCATCTACATATTTTCACATATTGCTTACGTATGGCTAGAACTAGGGCTCTGATGAATCATCAGAGTCCTAGTTCTAGCCATACGTAAGCAATATTTGAAAATATGAGAAAACTCAAAATATATTTTGAGATTATTTTTAGAAAGTTAGGAACAATTTGGACCAATTTGTTATTTTTATTGTGATTCTGTCATTTCATTAGATGTATTGAAACAGGCTGAATCACAAATTAAATGCAGCCGTTCCAAATTGGTTACCTTAATTAATTGATTAATTGACTTTTGGGCCATCTTGTATGTAAATTTTTGTCATATACACTCGACTTTATAAATGCTACAGCATCAAATATTTTGTGATCAAATTATAAAAATCTATCAACATTTAAATTATTATAAATTTGATATTAAAAGCATAATATAATCATACAGAGTCTTCCAAAAAGAATGCCAATGTTTTAAATTACTGTAATTTTGTTGATTATTATCTGAGAACATTGTAACATACATTAAAACACTGAAAAACCATCAATGTTTCACATTTGCCCATTACAATTTCTCAACATGTGCATCTTGTATCATACAACACATTTACAACACACATTCAAATTCTTCCTATGCTCATTATGGCACATCCATTGTCACTCCTCCCATTCGTAGCCACAATTCTACAGAACCCGCAGATTACTTGTGTTGCATGATGATGAGCAATTCTGACATTGAAAACTGTAGAATGCAAAATGCCTTCTATGTGACAAAATTGCATTTCCGTTTATGGCACTTCTTAGAGATAACAGCAGGGCTGTGGAGTTGGAGTCGTGGAGTTTTGGTGTTTTAGCCGGAGTCGAAGTCAGAGTCGGATGGTAAGGAAAAGTCGGAGTCGGTAGATTTTTACGCGACTCCACAGCCCTGGATAACAGATAACAAGACATTTGAATATAGATGGAACAGGTAACTCTGACTGTTACTCTATCAATTTGTGTATACCTCATACTTCTCAGATAATAACTAACATAATTACAGTAATTTAAAATGGTAGCATTCATTTTAGAAAACCCTGTATTTATGTATCTACACTATTCATTCAATGTAAAATAATACAAAAAGTAGTAAATCTTCATATTACTATTATTTGACACAACTAGCTTAAGCTTGCATCATTTGGGTGACTAATGAATTTCTCAGTATCGAGGGTAACAAAAAATGCATTACATATAAAAATACCATGTTTATTCTTACATAACAATTATTTTTTGTTAAATTGCAATAGTTGTTAATGTATTAAAACAAACATTGTTAACATATCCAGTCACCAATTACAAAATGCAACAAGCAACAAAGCTAGAAAGATAAAAATGAATTAGTTGCGCTTAATGCATTAATTCAAAAGCCATACCTTTCAGCAGCTCTTAACTTTTCCGCACCTGTGGACACAAATGTTATGCTCCAATCTACACATCGTGCCATTCCTTCCTTCAGCAGCAGCTCAGTAATGTTACCATTCTATATGTTTTGGCATTATAATAATTATTTAGTAAGATTGCTTTAACAAAAATATTAAAAATACTAAAATGCTGGCTTCCAATTTATTACTTGCAAACTCTGCGATTTTAATTCTAACTCACCGGGTGCAGAACTGTGCCAAGCAGATTTTGATTTGACACGCTTTCCAAAATTATTTCCACGTCTCGATGGAGTAGACGGCTCTCTGTGAAAAATTTTGCTTCAAGTGCATAGGGATCTGGTACCAACTGATTATCCTTGCCTTGTTTAAAGGTTGGGCACTACAAAATTTACAATTTATTTAATATAAGAAGAAACAAACTCAGTAAAAGGTTATAAAATGCCTCCAAATCTAAAAATTATTTTTCTATAAATAATACATAATTAAAAACATCATTTTTTTTTTACCCTGATTCCTGATAGCATGACGGTTATGTAATAAAAATCTGGCAAGAGAACGGCCCGGAGAGTACTTCCATCTCTGACATGTTCGATGATGGCTTTCACTGGTTTCTGGTGAAGAGAGTCGACGAAATTCCGAGGATTTTCAATAATCCACTTGACATCACGTATGTGTTCCTGATCATCTTGTGCCCACTTCCCCTTTTTGGCGGATTTAGCAGACTCTTGAAGCTCGAGAAGTTTTTGTAATGCTCTAAACAGGAAATAAGATATTACAATGCTTAATTTGTCATGTATAGCTTTGGCAACAAATAAACTTAAGTATCGTACTCATTTGGTTTTGCTCCTGTCTGACGTACTTCACCCAATCCTTCAGCTATGACTGCTTCATTTATATTCTCTCCCGTAGTATCTGTTTATATATTAGATCAGTTATTAGAAAGTTACAATATATAGATATACCATATTATTAATTTTAAAAAATAACTAGTATCTTGCCTTTCCCAAGATAGATAATTCCATATTCTCTGCTTCCACTGGGAGCTTTGTAATCAAGCAAAAAGCAGACTTCTTTTCCGATCAACTTCTTTCTCAAAAATTCTCTAGCTTCCCATGCGTAAGGCTGTTATCAAAATACACATAATACATAAAAAAACAAATACGAGAAAAGAACTAAGTTAAATATGACTAAGTTAAACTCACCTCATCTTTTGTATCTTGCTGCCTCTCAGCATTGACAGCTGCCCTCCGTGCCAATTTCGGTGCAATGATGTTAGACAAGTTGACCTGTTTCTCAGGTGGAGGACCTCCCCGTGGATGTCCACGAATTATCAATGCATCACCAGATATAATCTATAAATGAAATTGTGTATATAAAGTAAATTATAACAAACAAATCTATCCGATATTCATAACTTTTGAAAAAAATGAAAACTTAATGGCACATTGTAACAGATATTTGGCAACATATCAGTCAAGGATATCCAATTAGTTATGCATATAGATGCACTAATTAGAAATAACTGAAATGCTACTGCTTATCTATCTCAGACATTGACTCTAGTATGAAATAATAGTTAGCATAGCATGCTCCAGTACAAGATATAACATTAATTATAGTATTTGATGATTATATTATATTTTTCTAATATACGTTTCATATACATTATGTTCTATTTTGTAAGAAACATGGACCTATTTTTCTTTATCCACACAAACTACAGAACATCAAATCTATTCTTATTTTAAAAAAAACTATAGTATCTCATACTAAAAACAGTGCTCTTTTTATGAAAACTTAAGAAGAAATCATTGACTTCTTTATAAAATATGACATGTTTGTGAAAATTAAACTAAATGCATGTAAATATATTTTCTTTAGTTAATATAAAATTAAGCCAAAGATTACATTTGCACTCCACGTTAAGATATACTGTAGAATGGTCAGTTGACGAATAAGACAATGCAACACAAGGAAGATCTGCCAAAAAGAGATGCTTTCTGAAAAAAGCTTTATATGAGAAAATTGGCCTCTATTTAGAAGTTAGACACACAAAGACAATCCGAAAAGATCCACTCAGTCAACCTATCACACAAGAGAAAACTTGCAACTGACTACAGGTGGTTTTAGCCACTTGACCACTTCTGGGGTCTGTGAAAAATCTTGAAAATGAAGTCATCCACGCATTAGCAACAAAATAGAATGTACCTTTTATGTATAAAAAAAAAATGCAATTTTGTACTATTTTAATCATATGCCCAAATGTTTGTAATGAAAAACTACTTGTATTCTTTCTAGACTCCTGTAAACCCAACAAATTGTAACAAATATGGCTGAAAAGGGACAGACAACCTGTCCAAAATGCATACTGTCATCACAATAAACCCACATCTTCCCATCATCTTTGTGATTACTCCGACAGCATCAACAATGTGTGATAAGTCCTCCATGGAGCCAAAAACTTAGTGCTCTTAGATCCGTATTAAAAAATAACATGTTTAATAATGTTGCACAAATTTTGGTACTGACGGTTGAGTTCACAATATAATTTTTCTCGTCACATAGCTCCGTAACAAACATTTACAAATAACAAAAAATGTGGAAATCATTTTTAAATTACACTACCAAACTTGACATAGCACTTTATTAGAAATCAGTATTTTTCACGCTTCATTTTAATTTCAAATTCTTTTTTATTTCTGTCATTAGCACAGATAACTTAAAATCTACTACTTTCAGAACACAAAATATTCATTACATAATTTTAAAAATTTAAATTAAATTCTTCTTGTGTTTTTCTACCACAGTAATGGAAGCAATTTCTTGCACTCTTTAGTTAAATAATTAATGAAAGAGCTATCACGATATAAGGTCATTCAATAGCTGGACAACCATGGTGATAAAGTCACTGGTTTGCCATTCCGAGGAAGTGTAATTCAAGTCCGGGCAGCTTCTCAGCAACTTCAGGGAGTGTTTTGATCCAGACATATCCTGTCCCGTCTCTTGCTGCTGGGTTATCACAGCAAAAATGAGCTTTTTGAGCCAAATAATTCGGCTTTGAGTATTTGATTTAAATGTAAATACAAAAGTTTAGTATTTGGCTAAATATGGAATACCCGATCTGACACTAGTGTACTATACATTCTCTTGTTTTCATTAACAAAATACTCTTCCAAGAATTTGTCTCGATTAACATAGAATTTCAGTTAAGTGAAACTCTATTGTACATAATGCACTTATTAAAGTCTTTGACTAGTTACAAATTTAACAGGCCTTATGGTACACGCTCAACGGTAACTTGCCTAAGACAAAACTCCAGGACGATAAAAATCAGTTTTGTCTCAGGTGCAAGTGTTGTACGATCCATTTATAAATGAAAATTTATGAGACCTTACTGTATTTCACTTATTATTTTTCTCCCTTTGAACATTTTTGATTATTCATTTTGCATCAGAGTCAGTTTGGTGGTTGCCTCAACCACCAAACTGACTCTGCTGCCTTAGTGTATATAATTGAAAACTGTACCTACTGTATTTAATTACATAAATTATCATTATGTATTAATGTGTTGATATTTTATAAAATTATGTGAACCAAATAATTCCTTCCAAATTTAGCTTTTTTATTTAACATATGTTTAATACATATTTCAATTACATTATCAAAATTCTGAAATGTGATGCCACACCATGTGCAAAACATATTTCGGCATTCCTATATAACATTTGTAATCCAAAATTCTTAAATGCATACTAAATATAAGTAAATTGAACTTCTCAATGTAAGTTGTTCATCTCGTTGAAGCAGCCGACCTTTCAATTCATTTATGTGAATCTTTCTTTGTTATGCAATGTAGAAAATATTATAGAGAATTATAACAGCAATAACTATACCAAATGTATTGCTATATGTTTGATTAGTAAAGTTCAACAAGTTATGTGTTACTATATATATACTGTACATATATGTGATGCTGGGATAAAAGTTGGCTAAAAGTCATGGGTGTAAATTTATGTCTAAAGTAATTAATTGGTCTGGAGTTAAAAATCAGATGGCTGTATGGGTAGTGCAACTGGAAATGCACCTGCACAGTAAGCAGAAATTGTGGGTTTGAATACACCCTGAGCTGACCTTTACTTCCAGAATATTCTATTTATTTATTTCTAATTATTAAATTTAATAAGAGATAAAAATTAACCACCCACATCCAGCCAAATTACTTAATATCTTAATTAATTAATTACCCTTATGTAGCCAGATAATAGTCCAACTGTTCGTTTGATTAGCCGACTAGATTAAAGATACATTTGTGGAGTGGTCCAATTAGCTATCGAATGGCAATGTACTAACATAATTCATTTTTCCTAAATTAAAAGAAATACTTATTCTTCTCAGTTTGTTACGTTTTAGATTAAAATAGCTTTATAGTATTAATTTTTATCATCATAAAATGCACTCAAATTTTATTTTTGACTTATTTATAGTGGCAAATTTAATATAAAATCAGAGCCTGTCATGCTATTCAAAGCTCAAAATTGCACTATAATTCTACATTAAAATGAAGAAACTATAAATTTATTAAGTGATACAATAAAAATAACAAAAATTATGTTAAATAATTATGAAATAATTAAAAAATCTCCTCTAACATAAAGGATGGTCTTCTTGCTGTCAAGCAAAAGCCAATCATAAAAAGAGAAATCCGATTTTCTAATTCTGATTTCCCTCAGAAAATTGTTGCTTTAAAATTATTTGTTTCGATTTAAAATGATCATTTAATTTATAAAATAAATTAGCCAGTCTTCAATTAATTATTTCAATTGAATTTATTTAATGTATCAATCTGAATTTATTTTATGTTCTGTTTAAAACAAGGTTATTAAAATTTAATACACCGGTTAAAATTTAATAACCTTGTTTTAAAAATTGCGAGATTTACTTGAAGAAGCTAAACAATTACATTTTCAATAACCACATTTGAAACTGAAATTTGTAAATTAATATTTAGTTAAATGACAACTTCTTAATTTCAAAGCAACACTTAACTTTGATGTAATAAAATCAATAAAATTGATGTCAGATTAATTAGAACTTTATAATTAATGAAAATCTATAGATGAAAATATAAGATTGACCTACTGTTCGGTAGGGAACTTCTAGAGTTTAAACCTAATTCAAGTTATTTTTCTTGGAGTCAAAGTTCTTAGAAAACTATTGTTTTCTCTTGTTGACATCCAATGGTGAGTGTAACATACTTCAAAAGACCTGGGCTGTGTTCAGTAATGCAGAATTCTTGCTAAGTCTAGTTATGCTGCGATGTTGAACTCATTTCTAACATGACCGCACGGTCGGTACCTCCTTGGCACCTTGTCAGGACTGACACCACCATGTCTTTACGAACAGACACAGAAACCAAGTTGGCCGCTAATTTTGTTGCACGAGTTGTCACATTCATGGGCTTCTGGTCTCGGAATGGAGGCGGATGGAAATGACTGGAAGAAGTACACTCCACAAATTAACATTAAACAAAAATACCTGTTTATTGAGGGATATTATTTACAAGTTTACGATCATTTCAGAAGCTTAGCACAATGGCTAAAAAGTATTTGAGATGCTTAGCACAATTGCTAAAAGGAGAGGGACAGAGAGAGATAAACCTAACACGACCCTGACCGAGAGAGAGAGAGCTCACAGTAAGTTCGCAAATGTTTAAAATACTCATGAGTCCTAGTTGTATCAATGCACAAATTGAGGAAAGGTTGGCAACTCAGTTCGAAGGGTAATCCTTTTTTCCTCGGCTTCTTGGGTGGCAGCAAGTGGCGATGGCTAAAACAGCAGTTCGGAACACACACACTTATGAAAAAGGGTTGATGACTGCTCTGGCATGTTGTCACCCCCTCCTTTTTTTTAGGGACCCCTCCTGGGTTTTTCCCATGACCTCATTAGAACGTTTAGTACATCAGGACCAATAGTCACATTTTCACTCGTTGATTCCGGGTGACACATTCGATGTGTCATCTTCCACAAAGAAATAAGTCCATGGGAAACAGTTTAATTATCCTTGATGATTTTGGCAAAACAACTTTAATGAAAAACTAAATCAAACAGAAATTTTTTCATCAAATTCGGCTCTCACACTAACTACTGCTTGACTCCTCCCATTGCTAGAATTCTAGCTAGTTCAGTCAGCTTCTTTTATCTATGCTAACTTGTACTAGTGATGTCATTGTTTTGTCTTGTCATATGATTTGCAACATGGCTGCTTGTGTTGGACTAAACACATTTTATTATAACAATCACAAAGTTATTCTCTCATTCTAAATCATTAACTCATTCTAAAATGACTTTGGAA